AACACGCCTATCTAAAGATTCAAAGCTAACATACAATTACAAAAGCAAACTTGTAACATTTGTCTTTTGGGTCTGAGTTATCTCACTTAGGATAATTATTTCCAGTTTCATCTATTACCTGTGAATTTCACAATTTATAATAGCTGAAAAATATTCCATTGTGTAGATATACCATACTTTTATTATCTCTTCATCAATGGATGGACATCTAGGTTGTTTTCATTTCCTGGCTATTGTGAATAGGACAACAATGTACATAGATGAGTAGGAATGTCTGTAGTAGGATATAGAGTCCTGTGGGTACATGCCCAAGAGGAATGTGGCTGGATTATGTGGGAGATCAATTTTTAATTTTTTGAGGAACCTTCACATTGATTTCCATAATGGCTGTACCAGTTTGTACACCCACCAGATGTGAATAAATGTTCCCATTTCTACACATCCTCGCCAGCATTTGCCATCATTTGTGTTTTGAATCTAAGCCATTCTGACAGGGGTAACATTAAATCTCAAAGTGCTTTTAATTTGCATTTTCTTAATGCATAAAAATGTTGAAGATTAAAAAATAATTCTCAACCATTTGTATTTCATCCTTTGATAACTCTCTGTTTAGTTACTTGCCCAAGTTAAAAAAAAAACTATTATTTTTCACTTTATGTGTATGAGTATATTGCCCGCATGTAAGTGCACTCGTGTTGTGCATGCTGTGCCTACAGATGTCAGAAGATGGTGTCAGATCCCCTGGAACTGGAGTTATGGATGGTTGTTAACATCCATGTGGGTACAGGGAATCGAGCCTGTCTCCTCTGCAAGAGCAGCAAGTGCTCTTAACCTCTGAGTCATTTTTCTTCAGCCATACTTGCCCCAATTTTTAATTGGGTTGTTTTTGTGTTTTTTTTTTAACATTCAGTTTCTTTTTTAGTTCTTTACATGTTGTACATAATTACCATCTGTGAGATATATAGATGATAAAGAATTTTTCCCATTTTTCTAAGCTGTCTCCTCACTCAAATAATGATGTCCTTTTCTATAAACAAGCTTTTTAGTTTCATGAGGTCCCATTTGCCAGTTTTATTCTTAATATCTGAGCTTTTGGGATCTTGCTCAGGAAGTCCTTTCCTGTGCCTATAAATTTTAATGTACTCTCTACTTTCTTCTCTGTGGAATTTAGAGTATCAGGTCCTTTGTTGACTCCCTTGATCCATTGGAGATAAATTATGTGGAGAGGGAGAGATAGGGATCTAGTTTCATTCTTCTATATGTAACTAATGTAGTTCAACTATACATTTTGTTGGACATGCTACCATTTCTCCAATTGCTTTTGGCCCCTTTGTCAAAAATCAGGGATAGACTTAAATCTGGGTCCTCACTTCTATTTCACTGATTAATGTCTTTTTAAAATGCCAGTACCATGCTGTTTGTATTATTATAGATCTGAGTATAATTTGAAACCAGAGATGGTGATACCTCCAGCAGTTCTTTTATTATTTAGGATCTTATTATTGAGTTTGGGGAGGTTTTTGAGACAGGATCTCCCTGGAGGCTCAGATAGCCTGGAGCTCTCTATATAGGCCAGGCTGGCCTCAATCTCATAAAGATCTACCTGGTTCTGCCTCCCTAGTGCTGGGATTAAAGGTGAGCACCACCACTTCTGGTTTGGAGACCTTATTCTTTTTTAAACTCAACCTGTGGTATGTATTTCATTCTCTTAGTAATGTCTTATAAGAGAAGCATACAATTTTAAACTTGATAGTCTTATTTGTCAACTTTTGTTTATAATCATTGTTTCAATTTTTCAATTTCTTTTATGTTTATATCTAAGAAACCTTTTGTCCTTTACAAAGTCACAATTTTTTTTCTACCAGAAAATCTTATAATTTAGCCTTTATATTTGGACATAGAAACATTTAATTTTCAGTTTTACATGTGAAATAAAATATGAATTATTATTCTTTTTTCATAACCGTTGTTTATGAATATCCTATTATTTTGCCATTTCTGCTGATGTTTCTGTACTGAATTGTCTTTGTGAAAAGAGTCCAATCATCTGTATAGGGGTTAGTCTATTTTGGGAAGATCTATTATGTTCCACTGATCTATTAGTGCACCTTGGTACTAATGCCAATGTTACATTGTCTGGATTTTTATAGCTTTATATAATAAGGCTTAGAATTAAGTAATATCAAACCTCCCTCTCAATTTTTCTTTGCAAATATCATTTTGATTAAATCACTTTCATTTTTATATAAATTTTTGAGTGAGCTTGTTAATTTCTACCGAAAGCTTACTGTTATTGGGATTGTATTCAATCTGTAGTATTATGAAATTTTTAGAAACTAGGACAACTATTTCATCTCTGGTAAGCTCTTACATCCTTGCCTTTTCCACCTCTACTAAAGAATGCTGCTGTACTCCCCTTCATGCATGGTCATCTGCACAGTGCCTTGCGGTTTGCAAGTTTTATATGCATCATAAGGCTTCCCTTATTGCCTTTTCATCTCATGATCCACTTTCAATGCCATATACTCAATGGCTCAGAAACCATTTTACATGTGTTTTTGACGTGGTTTCCTCTTTTTTGTCTTTCTTTCAGACTGAAGGAAAACTAGTCCCTATTGCCAGATCTCAGACCGAGGAAGTAGTTGTAAATGGTCTTTCAGGAGATTATTTGCCCTTGTATGTTTTACTTATAAATGTGTGTGATTTTCGAGCCAGCAAGTCAAGGGACTCTTACTGGTTTCAGAGACATGATAGACATGCTTGAAATCTAGTGAAGCCACTATGGAAATCAGTGTAGAACTTTCTCAAAAAAACTAAAAATAAGCCGGGCGTGGTGGTGCATGCCTTTAATCCCAGCACTCCGCAGGCAGATCTCTGCGCGTTCAAGGCCAGCCTGGTCTACATTGTGAGTTCCAGGCCATCTGGGGCTACTGGGAGACCCTGTCTCAAAAAAACACCCCCCCCCAAAAACAACTAAAAATAAAATGACTATGTGACCCAGCTATAGCATTCCTTGACATATACTCAAAGGACTCTGCATACTACGTTAGAGGAACTTGCACATCTTTGTTTATTGCTGGTTTATTTACAAATGGATAATGACAATATGGTATGTATATATAATGGAATTTTATCCAGCCATACAGAAAATCCAAATAATGAAGACAGGAAAATGGATGGAATTAGAAAATATTATATTCAGTGAGGTAACCCAGATTCACAAAGACAAACACCACAGATTCTTATAAGGGAATCCTAGATTCAAATTTTTATATATGTACATTTATGTGGGGAGTCTGTATAGATGTCAGGAAACTAGAAAGGGGCCCATGACAGGGAGGAAAACAGCTTCAAGGAAAAGGGACAGGGAGGAACATGTGTGATATGAGAGTGAAAGGAGGAATAGTGGACGTGGAAAGGTTTAAGTGAGTGTGAGGTGGGCAGGGCAATGAGGGAGCAGAGGATGGCAAGGGTCAACAAAAACTATCTATGAAAGTGCTGCAAGGAAACTTATTGCAACATAAAAGAATAAAAAGTAAGAGAAAATCTAGTTCAGAGACAGGTAACAAGGTAACATGAATGCTTTGCTAGAAAGTGATAAGAAATGCTAAGGGGAAAACAATAGAATATAAAAAAAAGTCAAGGAAGAGATAGATAGGAAATGCGGGTAGAGGAAGGTATGGTAAAGCTTATACCCATTAACCTGGAAGGCTTTAATGAGAAAGATACATTCACTGGACTCCTGAAAAGTTGAAAGGGCAAGCTATATGAACATTTGGAGAGCTGAGCTCCCCACATACAATAAATAGTACAAAAGCCCTGGAATGTGCAAGGTACAGGAAAGGATGTTTGTAAAAATTATTGCACTACCAGAGCAGATGCTCACAGAATGCTAGGTAGCACTTTCAGATAATATTACTGATAGCAGAATCGGAGATTTGACATAGAACTATGTAGCCGCATTGCTCATCTAATTGCTACTATTTTCCCTTTCCTTCATGCATGTATTGAAGAAGATAAGTGTTGGCTTGTGGTTGCTCTTGCGTTGTTCCTGTCCATTTTCCTACTTGTATACTGACGTGCCACATGTTACCAATCATATACTTTCCATAGTGACCCTGGCTTGAGAGGATGCTGGGTTCTGACATTCCTCTTTTTGCTAATTATTGGGGTAGACACTGTTATTTTCACTGGCTGGACAGTGATCTCATTCCTTCCTCATATCATATGTTTGTTATCTCAAAGTCTGTGCACTCAAGGCAAAAGATTATTTTCCTCAGAAAGAAGAAAACCCTTCCATGCCCCAGAAACCCTATGTGAAATTCTAATCACAGCTCCTGTTACCCTGCCCTAATTTCTCTTCTGTATAACATCCAATGCGCTTTGATTTTACTTCTTGATTTTATTTTACGTCTATATTTGAATAGATAACGACCATAGTATGGCATTTTAAATAACAAGATAACATAGGATGGAAAACAAGTTTTCTTCACTCTGTTCCACAGCCTTGAGACAAACAAAATGACTAAATTAGTGTCCTTTGAGAAACATTGTGTGCATATGTGTACAGGGGCATGCTTAGTCGCAGTCTGCCTCTCACCCCCACCCACACAAAGCACCTTGACGACTTTTGTCACTTCATTCTTACCACATCCTGTTGGGTAGGTGCTGCTATCCTCATGACAAATGAGGGAGGACAGTAAGGGAAGATGCTCAGGCTTAAAGAAGGAAGGTGTCGTCCCTGAAGTCTCTCAGGTAATAAGTAGAAAATCCAGGGCTGACACTTTTTTGTCTGTACTCTTTTCTTCACACTGGGACCAATTCTGTATATTGATCATAGTAGATTTCTGAACACTTGCTGGTAGTTACAGGGAGTAAGAAAATCCCCTTAGTTTCTTAAGCCATTTTAATATTAATATGACAGACCAAATCAGTAGTGGTAGGCATCAGTGGGTAGCTTGTCTAATTGTTTCCTGGATATCTTCCTTCCCATTCTACAGATCTATTTAGGTCCACCTGAGGACAGTGTTATGCCTCCAGTGCCTCCACCTCGATTGACAGCAAGAAGGCACAAACCAATCACGATTTCTAAGCGCTTGCTTCGAGAAAGGACGGTTTTCTACACTTCTTCTCTGGATGAAATTGAAGGTCAGTAGTTAGCTTCCATATGATGACTAGAAACAAAGAAAATATTGCAGGACAGAAATGGAGGTGTGGCCATTTTCTCCATAAAAAGGTAGGCTTTTCTTAGTTTGTGCATTGTTTTGTTTGTTTTTGTTTTTTGCTAAAAAGTAGTCAAGAGAAGCAAGCTTTATAGATTGTGTCCTAAGAGGGAATTCGATTATTGGCAATTGGAAGGGCAGGGATGAATCTGTAAAGGAAGCTGCATAACTCCTTGTAAGGCCAGTAACAGATCCAAGATATTCTTACATATGTGCCCCTACTTCATTGAAATATGTGAGCCAGGTGCTTGCTAATGTTCTAAGATTTTAATTCAAATATAGCTACAGTGGATTGAATAATTACTGTGTTCTAGCCAGTATGCTAGAGGCAAAGTGAAATTATGATACATTCCCTTGAGCTCATGGAACTTATAGGAGAAAATGAGATGTAGGTATGTGAATAAATAAACACCACCCAGTAGAATAACTGCTGGTGAAGAGATGCACCCATTCTACATGGGTCTTAGCTCCCTTCTACCCCATGGAGACTACTTTATCCAAGTTACCGATAAACTCCATGTGGCCAAACTAATCACTCCACTCTACTTTTGGGTTGGTGAGCAGCCTTTGACAGCTAACTGTTTTCTCTTCCTAGAAACACTGAACTTGGCTTTCAGGACATTAAACTCTAAATCTCTCAACATCTTCTGTTACTTTTTCTTCTCTTCCCAACTTTGACATGTTGGGATAGCCCAAAGGTCTCAGCCCTCTTCTCTATGTTATTTTATGACAGATCTCTTTATGTCTCTTATCTGTAAATATTAATTCAAAGTTGCAGATGATTTCCAAAATTTTTCTACAGGATTAGGTCTCCCTTTTATTGTTGTTCCAGAGTGTCTGTTCAACTGTTCTCCATGAGTTAACTCGAGTACCTCAAAATCAAAATTCAAAATGAACTAAGCAGCTCTGTTTATTATATTTTATTATTTTATTTTATTTTTGGAAGTGGTGATGATGCTGAGGCTGGAACCCAGGACTTCATATATGCTAAGCAGGCACTCTATCACTAAGCTACAGCCCTAGTCCAAAACACAGTTCTTGATTCTCTATTGCTTCTTTCCCTACTCCTGTTGTGATTTCTCCTTTCTAAGCAACTGGTAGTTCCAGTAACCTGGCTACTGAGGTCAAGAACTTTGGGCTCCTTCTTGATGACTCTGTTCCTTTTCCCCGCACATCAGATGTATCAGCAATTCCTGTCAGCTGTGCCTGCACATCACCTGGTAAATCTTCATTCCCATGGGGAACAGGGTGAGGCTCTACCATCTCTTCCGTGCTCTCCTTGCCGGCCTACTTGGCTGCCTCTAATTCATTCTCCACAGTAGCCAGTAAATTGTCTATTATTTCAAAAATGGAAAGCAGGTTACCTTATTCCCTCTGTTCCAAACTTTCAGTGACCCCTCTTTGTGTTTAGAATAAAAATTTTGTTTTATGCTGTATTCAGTGACCATTACTTAGCTCTCTGACTTACATTTATGCACCTTGTGACCTCACTGTCCCTTTTGCCTTTTCTGCTCTAATCTCATGGGTCTTGCTATTCCTTATGGGTGTCAAGTTTCCAAATGCTGTCTCCTCATAGAGACCTTTTCTGAGCACTCTAAAAAGTTTTCCAGTCATTTCCTTTCCCTTTATAATATTTTGTTTTATTTCTGTCATGTGCTGACATTTTTATCTATCTTCCCCATTAGGATGTTAGACCTATTTTGTATCACCAGCCCTTAGAACAATTCCTGCTATACATCGCATGCACATAGTATATATTTTTAAAGTGTATGAATGGATGTATTAGGAATAATGAAGAAAAAGGGATTACCTTGCTTAAGGGGTCACTTCCATAGAGGAGGAGAGAAAAGGAAAACAGAAGGCAACATTGAATATTTTTTCTGTTGTTCTGTAATCATATTTTTATGAAATAAATTTGCTTATTTATGATTTTCTCAAATATAAACTATATACCGGAAGAAACTTAAAAATATTTTTTGGGTTTATTTTTATTTTATGTATATGGGTGTTTTGCCTGCATGTATGCAGTGCATCATGTGTGTGCTTGCAGAAGTCGCAAGAATTCATCAGATCCCCTGGAACTGCAGTTTTGATTGGTTGTTAGCTGTCATGTAGGTGCTGGGAACCTCTGTGAGTCCTCTGTGAGTAGCCAGTGCGTTGAACTGCTGGGCCATCTCTCCAGGTCCAGCAGAAACATTCTGACACTTTATCCCCAACATCAACACAGAACCTGCTGCATAGTAAGTACTCAGTTAGTGAGTGCAGTGAATGAATGAACTGAGTATCAGTAGACCGATGATCTAATATCACTTTGTCCACTAGCCTTTTTAAATTTTTTTTTTATTGAGCATTTGTAATTTCATACAACAGTTCTTAATGAAATCAGGTAGGACTCCAATATTGAACTCATCCGCCCATGGCTCAGGGATCGTTGTGAAAGAGGGGGTGGAAAGATTGTAGGAAGCCAGGGCCAGTTCGTGATCACTAGTCTTTTGAGTAACTAGAATTAGCCACTTCCCCTCTCAATTTGCCCCTCTCTAGTGAAAGCTTTATGCCAGATCGTCAGTGATATTTGCCAATCTACACATTCAAAAATTTTTATAAACTGATAATTCATAGGCCTTAAGATCCACCTTTTAAACTGTAAAACTCAGTAAAGTATATTTTATGCAACCGTATTATTCCAAAATATTTGAATGAGCCTAAAAAGAAATCTTCCAACCCCGTCTTTTCCCCAACCTCTGGTAATTACTAATCTACTTTCTGTCTCTAGAAACTTTACTATTCTGAACCCTTCATTTAAATGGATCATACACTTTGTAGTCTTTTATGGCTAGAAAATTATTTCACTTATGTAGATTTATCCATACTGGAGTGTTAAAGCTTTTTATTGCCAAATAATATTTCAGGCTATGAATATATGACATTTTGTTTATCCATTCCAGAGTGGATGGACACATGTAATATATTCATATTTTAGTCATTATGAATAATGCTGCTGTGATTATTCAGGCTATTGGGTGAAAGTCTCACTTCAGTTTTCTTGAATATATTACTGAGTCATATGTTTACTCTATAGTTAAACTTCTGCAGAATGGCCATGCTATTTTCCAAAGCAGGTATGCCATGACATTTGCTTTCCCACTAGCAATGAATGAGGGTTCTAATTTCTCTATATTCTGGTCAGTGCTTGTCATAGTCTGACCTTTTCCTTATGACCATCTTATATGGGTATGAGCCTATAATCTCATTTAATCTTCAATATTCCTGAATGAGGTAGGTATCTTGAGCTTCATTTTATAGTGATGTCATTGGAGGCTCAGAAATGGTGAGTAATTTATCCAATTAACATTACTACCACATTACAAAGCAGTGACTTACACCCAGCTATCTTATCCCAATGCTCATTTGCCTACTATATGTAATGTTGTACTTTTTATAATGGGTCCAGACACTATTCTGATAATCAACCAATCCTACTCACCACTTTTCTTTACAAGTAGCACCTAATCACCAAATTTAGATTCTCTTTGTAAGTAGCATTTTAGTGACTTTTTCCCTCATCAAAGCCCTGACCATTCTAAATCTGTTTCTTTTGAGACAAGGTCTTGCTATGTGGCCTAGGATGGAATTGAACTCATAGTCCTTTTGCTTCAATCTCCTGAATGATGATGGGAATATAGGTGTGTGGCACCATACCTCACATTCATTCTACCTCTTTAACAGATCTCTCTTTGCTGATGCTGTTTCACTTTAGATCAGTGTCAACAATATTCCCATATCCAGTCTCCCAAACTCTAGTTTCTCTGGTCTAATCTGCTTCATAATGAATCTAAGAAAATATTCTGGAGATTATATATATATATATAATCTC